TCTTACAGCTTCCTGGCTGGCTTCCAGCTAGAGCTTTATAATCTGTTCTAACATCACAGAATCACTTTGGAGATTTTCACCAGTTGAGCTCTGCTAAAGGAATGCAATGTGACCACCAACCTGACATGAAGATCAGGTCAACCCTGTTTATTGAGGGTTTGTCTAGACCATCCCCACTAAGGATCTTGTGGATCTCACCTATGGAGCTGAAACAAATCTACTTTGTCTTTAAAAAGGGGGCAGGGTTAAGCAGACTACTTGTGTGATTCACTTGCATGCCAGAGACTCAGCTCCTCTAAAAATTAGGACCATTAGAAAAGACTCTGCAAATAGCCTTTGTCACATTAAAAAATGAGCACTGAGGCAGGCTCAGAGAACACAAGGCAAAATCGTGCCATGCCTGTCCCAGCTCTGCACTCAGGTAACCAGGGAGACTGCACTGCTGAGCAGGCATGGTGATGGTGTGAGGCTGGGATGGAAAGCAGTGCTTTTAGCAGCTCTCAGCAATGTGGCCAGCACTGCAGCTCCTTGGAGAGGCTCAGCAGAGAGGCCAAGGCTCGAAGCTTTGCGGCAGAGTCGGTGCTGAACTCTCCATGGACCCCTCAGGTGTCAGGCCCTGATCAAAGCAGGTCACAGCAAGGAAGGGAGGACAGAGATAGGTCCATGGTTTGTGACCAAGCTCTGACTTTATTGCCAGCACCCAAAACCCACCTGGTTGTGCTCACAGGACTGCACCACCCCTGTGCTGGGGCTGAACCCCAGCTCTCTGCTTGGCTCAGTGCCAAGTTCATCACTCTCCAGGCACCAACCCTCAGTGCTCTTCCACCAAAAAAACAATCAGTGAGACAGTTTGTGTCCCTGCAACACCCCACAGAGTCACAGCCCATGGCCAGACTGTGTGTGAGGGGTGACCTTGAGTCTGTATGACTCTCCACTTGGTGCTGCAATAATAAACACACCCCAGCCCACTGCTGACTACTCTGGGGGTGCATAAATCAGAGCAGGTCTGAGCTATGGCTCAGGCTAAGGTGAGCCATAGCTCACAGGAAATTGTTCTCAAGGTGGTTTGCAACTCTCTGCCTTCATTTCCTCAGCCTTCTAGAGGTCATTACAGAAGATCTGTGAGGGGCAAAAAATGCTTGTAAGATACATAATTGAATGGAATAAATAACAACTAGTGAATCTTGAGGATAACTATTAAAACTGACTAAAAGCTATCCAAGCTGAAGAGAAGTAAAAATACATTAAACCCAGCTACAAAACTAATGAACAATTGCTTCACAACTGTTCCTAAATCATCTTTAAAATATATATTAATAAAGGGCATTTTCAAAATAACAGATTCAAAAAAAATTTAAAATATTAAGAAAAAGGAGATCAAATAGGGCCTTGTAAGGATTCATGTAAACAATACATTGGAAATAATTCTGGACTCCTACTTCCCTCCAGTATGGATTGTAAGAAATCCCCAATCATTTTTTTGCCCATTTAAGCAGGTTCTCTCTCTCTGTGCCTCCTGCACACTGTGTGCTCTTCCAGCATTAAGGACAGCCAAATGCAATTTAGCCAAATTCACACCTTTCACTCTATAATCTGCGATCTCTGCGTCAGCCTTCTGTGTGGGGACAGAGGGCCACAAAAGGTCAAATGCACCATTTGGTAACACACTCTCCCTTTTCTGGGCTTCCTTCAGCCTTTTGTTCTCCTCACAGTGGCAGCTCCCAGCCCTGAGACCCCATTTACATGGTGAGCACACGGTCAGGACATGGCTGGAGCTCCTTACAGGCACAAAAGCCTCCGTTTAGCACAAATCCAATTTTAAATGCAAAAGCATGTTCTTAATAACAACGAAAAAAAAGCAGCAAGCTATCAAGGTAGCAGACTGTGATGGATATTAGCCATGCACTTAAGAGTCCTGCTGAATCAGGGCCATGGCCTATCGATTACGACGCTACATTAATGACGTAATTTTCTCAGAAATGATGATGGAGTCTGGATCTTGGCCAAGGTTACCCAACATGTACAGCAACTACAGTCCCAACAACAGTCCATGGATCTGCCCCCATGGCCCCTGGCCTGTCAGCACACCTTTCCATGCCCTGTGGGTCCAGCATGGTGGGTCTCTAGGGTTGGCATCACCTTGTCTTGCCAAGGGCAGATCTGAGCAGGGGGAATTTGTGCTGATTGCAAGTGGACTGTGCAGAGGGTTATAGCTGGTCCTGTTATGGTTTAACCCAGAAGGCAGCTAAGCACCACACAGCTGCTCACTTACTCCCCCCACAGTGGGATGGGGGAGAGAATTAGGGAAAAAAAAACATTCCCCCTTGTTCTGTCACTACGTGCTCTTGTAAAAATTGCCTCTCCACACCCTTCTTATTATCAGCATTATTCTTCTCCTAATTCCAAACCACAACACTGTACAAGCTACTAGGAAGAGAATGAGCTCTTCCCCAGCTGAAACCTGGACATGAGTCACTAAAAGTGACCTAATTAATAAAAATTAATTAGCTAGTATTAATCAAATAAAATCCATTAGCAATCACTCTAAGAGCTGCACAGAAAGGTTGCAAAGGAAAGTCTATTCAAGATTCAAACTACAGCTCCAGCACCATCCCCACTGTCTATATTTAATGCCACCAATGCCTTAACATTCCAAGCCAGCTCTCCACATGGAGTGAATCTCCAGACTTTGTAGTTTGGTGCTTGCCAAACACCAGGCATGGCTCTGCCCCCACTGCTCCAGGCAGAGCTGTGGACAGAAGGAACAACCATCATGCAGAAAATGCCATTTTTTCTTGCAGTTCTCAGCTGCAAAGAGTTCATCAAACTATAGGCACTGCCAGCTTGCTGTGTGGTCCCTATCCTTGCATCCCTTTGGCCAACACCAGGAATGTACAGGGCCAGGACATTCAAATCTCATCTCATACATCCTGAGCACCATCACAAGCTGCTAACATGCTTTGTGGCCTCTTCATGTTCCTACAGCAGTGCTGCAAGGGGCAAGCCTGTAGTTAGAGCACCTCATCCTGAGCTGGTCCTGGGAAGCTGCACTCGGTGTGTTGGTGTACCTGTCCTGAAGCACCTGAGTCATACATTGCTGCATCTCCTCAATGTACAGAAGATTTCCCTTCTCCTCCCTCTTCCATCTTCACCCCAAATTTTAAAACAGCGCAGCTTTCTGTCACTCGAGCCTATTACCATGGTGGGGTTTCATTTCCAACATACAGGGACAGCAACCTTGCCCAGTTTCCCCAGGAGCAGCATGGATTTCGGCAGGAATTCCCGCAGGAGGTCCAGGCACTCGGGCAGGCACAGCAGGGTGCCAGCCGTGCCCGTGTCGGAAGCAGCCCAATTCCCCACTGGCATCTGCTGCCCTGCACTGAAGCTGCTTCACGCCCAGCTGCGCTCGAAGGGCAGCTCGAGTTAATGATGCAGGAGAGCAGCCGGGTGTGACTCCGAAGGAAGGGGAGAATGTGCTTCCAGCTTTTCCATAACAGTTAATCATTAACACCTTTCATGGTCGCAGAAGGTGCTGGCCTCCTTACAGCTCCCCTTATCAGCCATAATTATTTCCTGATCTGCTCTCGCCTGACTACCTGGCAGACTTATGCACAACACCCCTGAATCACCTGACTGCATTTATTGCCCTATATTCCGAGCCAAACGGGTCTCTGCTGTGTCAGCTGCAATATTTTACAGCATTATAGTTATTTCTCCCTGCCCATGCCCAAACATAAAAGTTGTTCTGCACCACACCTTGCTCTTTACGCCATCCCTCTTTCTGACAAAGCAAAACAGAGCAGTCATCCAAATACATGCGCACTCCTTTCTCCTCTTCTTCCCCAAAAGCACCATCTCCTCTTGCATACAGTCTAGGGGGGTACTGCTGCTATATCACCAAGTCCACTTTAACTTTTCAACCATTTTACTTCTATGGATATTGCCTCAATATCTAAATTAATACATTTCTATTTACACTTCTGTTGGTTTTTGTTTTGTTGTTTTGATTTTTTAAAATTTTCTAACAAAATAGCTCACATCCATAGAGGAGAGAGATATAAATCCAAGGGATAGACAAAAATGTGTCACCCACATGTTGTATTATCTGCCTCAGGAGGAGAGTTTAGAGTCACCAGCTTAACTTCCTTATTTAATAAAAATGGATAGAATATCCTGACCATCAAACTTGGTCTGAACAAACGCAGCCCTGTGTGAGTGGAATAGTGGAAATTGCCAAGAGTTTATATGTAGGTAAATAAATAAACATATAAGCTAAGGCTTATATGTAGGTAAATAAAAGAAACTTAAATAAAAGCAAAAACTGGAAATTCAGCCCTTACTGCAGTTCTGATGAACAAACCTATTCTCAGTGAAGAAGATGCTGTGTAGTCTTTAGATAGCACATGCCCATGTAACACACATGTTGCCCAAGAGTCTTATATCAAAACACTTACAAAAGGGAACAGAGGTCTCCAGGCACAGAGCAGAAGACTGGAGCAATGGGAACATGATAATTCATGATCAAATTATTTTTTTCAGTGAGACAATAGCATCTATAAAAAGGAATAAAAATGTAACAAAAGGGGATTTCATCTTCACTACCAAAGGTTAAGAAAAAAACTTTTTTAGGGAAATTCAAAACCACAAAAGGAGCAGGGGATGTACACAGAACAATCCCAGGGCCATATTACACTGGTGCTGTTCCCAGCACCAGTGCCTGACACATGGCTGACTCAACATCCAGGAGGATACAAGGCCACTCTGAAATACTTGCAATCTACAACTCAAACCAATGCTTCCTCTTTCCTCCTAGCACGGCATTCACATAACCCAGCCAGGAACTCGGGGAGGTCTCAAACATGATCAAGAATTTGGAAATGCTTGTCTTGATTTCTGGAGTCAGGCCACTTTCAAGGCTGACCAAGCAGATGTGCCCCATGCTCCAAGAGCATAAATAATACACTGGCAAAGTATAAAATCAGAAATTGTTCAGAGCTTACCTGCACATGCAGTTCTCCACTCTGTGAGCACACAGTGCTTCCTTCTGCCGTCAGACATCCATGATTTTGCTTGGGGTTGCTGCTGGTAGCGCTTTAGAAATTCCAGCTTTGGGCTCAGGAATGGTCACAAACACAGATGGGATCTCAAAGGATCACTGAAAGGCTGAAGCAAAGGAAGGTAAAGCCTTCCTTTTTTAAAGCCATCATGAAAAGATGATCCTGTGGTTCACCTAAGTCATGACTTGTAGGAGGGAATGTCTCACACCCTCTCTTAGCAAGGATCGACAAGGCTTGAAGAAGAAGGTTGACCATTGATTTTTAGAGCTCCTTTCTCCATGTGGGAGGAGGCCTCAGCTCAGACAAGAGGTGGCACAGGAAGGAGACCAAGGTCTGTAGATATAAAAATGGCAGAAAGATGATTAAAGCAAAAATGTTTGGTATTTATCACAAATATCTCCCCCCACCCCCTTCCCTCCAGAAAAAAAAACCCTAAACCACCAGAAAAAAGCCCAAATCTGAAGCCACTGCAGTCACAGGATGTATCCAATCACAGGATGCACTGATGCCAACAGATATGACCATGGCCCTGTCAGGCCAGAGGATGGATCATACTACAAGCAGTTTCTCACTCACACTCCTCCTACAGGTGTTACTGGCTCTAGCCAGGGAGAAGATAAGGGTTAAGGTGGGCCTCCGGCCAGAGCCAGTACAGATGTTCCAGTGATCATGGCCTCACTACTGGGTCACAAGCTGAGAACTGATCTCGGAAAACAAGCTATATTTTGCCCCAAGCAACACTCAGACATAGTGCTTCTGGACAATGCTCATTTCATTTCTTGCAACCTTTTATTTCAGGCCTTCTTCGTCTTGCTTCCTTTTGGCTTATTCTGTTTCAACACCCGATTTTAAGTTACTGTGAAATACACTGCAATAAGCAGCCCTGTAAGTTGATGTCAACTGTCTGTCCACAAATAATCACAAAGTCCCCCTTTACTGCTGCCTTCCCATGTGCTCTGACCCGTATCTGAAGAGGTCTCTTCTAGGGTGAGCCCAGATCTTATTCCCCACGGTGCATTCTCAGCCTGTCTGCCAAGACAGCCCACACCAGTAGCTGTTATGGAAGTCACTCAGTGTGACATGATGTCCCATCCATGGGGCACACAAGTCAAACCACTCCTGCAAGACCCACTGGAGCGAGGGAATCACCAGGGAGCAGCACAGGGCTCGCTTTTCTCTGCAGAGCACATCTGGCTCTCTCATATATGGACATCACAGCTTGACCTGACCACTGGACTACCTAATGCAAGAAATCCTCTGTAATCAGCAGCTGTGGAAATTAATTGCACCATTCTTTCCATTGTCAATTCAGTTTGAGAGATTTTAATCAAATCTGATGAGGGACAATGTAGCCAGTGATAAATTTACACATGAAGCACCTTACCTGCACTGCCTTGTGCCAGTGCTCCTACAAGTCTGCTGCCAGAGAAGCTTAAACAACCTCTAAGGGTATCTGGGCACTATCAGACCATGAAGGGCAAGTTATGGCTGTGTATTCAGAATTGCTCTGTTTTTTTACTGTAGTCACCTCCCTGCTTAATTGACATATATGGTGTTGGAGCTTCTCCGTACAATGCCTAAAAAGGATGCTACTTCCTTGCTTTTTAGTGGATTTCTGTGCAAAGTTCCACCTCAAGACAGAGTTAGGACCCTGACCTTTAGCAAATACTTGTATCTTCTTGTTCAGGGCTTACTGAGTTGTTTGGGACACATTCCCAGTGCTGCAGTTATTGGTTCACTGCAGGTGTAGGTGGGAGTTTTTCTTTTTCCCAGCCTGGAGCCTGTGCCCGCCAGCCCCAGGGCATGCAGGGCCCTTCACCCCATCAAGCTTAAACTTGCCAATCCACTGCTCAGCCTTGTTTAACCACAGTGAAGGAGGCAGGGAATTGTTTCCTGCCTCTGAGAAACATTTCATGGAACTGGAAAAGTTTTATCACTCTGCTTTTCTGAAGGAGGTTTTGGTTCTCAGGTAAGTTTTCTTTCCGAAAATCTAAGTCACATATACATCCCCCACAAGAAACCCCACAGCAGAAAGCCCCAGCATTGAATGACCACCACAAAAAAAAAAAAAAAAAAAAGGCTTCTGAGTTGCTTTATATTCTGAACCAAGCCAAGAGATAGAGTTGGTGACTGAATCACAGCAGAGTGCAGCTCACAGACGCACAGACCGGTGCCCCAAAGACGCTTCCAGGCGCTCCCTCCTCCCGCCTGCCGGAGCCGCAGCTCCTGAGCTGCGCCCTGTGCTGAGCTGCCAGGGCCACTCGCTCCCCGGAGGGGATCCCCACTGCTGGCACAGACAGATGCCATCAGTCACATCCATTCCCCGTGGCACAGCCAGGCTGTCAGCCCCGGTGACAGCTCCGCTGTGATGGCTCTCTCAGCCAGTGCCCAGAGCACAGCCAGCGCTCCGAGTGTGGACAGAGGGCTGGGCCTGCCTCTGCACCTCTACAGTCACACCAGCAACTTTCACTCCATCTTCCAGGTCTATACTTCTCACTTCCTTTGTTTTTTTCTTTTCACATAAAAAACAACCCATCTTTACCACTTACTATACATGTAAAGCCCTGGGACTGGACTATGGTTCCCAGAGGGGAGCATTGGGAGGCAAAAAGCAGGGAAACAAACAGCATTAATATGGTTTCTGTTTTGCACAGGGGCTCCACCCTCTCTTTCAAGACCATGCATTCAGTTAATGAGAAACAGGGTATTCCCACCCCTCGTGTACAATCCCCTTTTTATTTCATACACAGTGAGGAATTAAGACATGAGACTTTCTCAACCACTTCCCACAAGAGCTGTCTCTGGCTTTGACTTTGATAATCCAGCTTGACTGATCTTTCCCTGGCAGTGGCACTGGCGTCAGTAGCCAAAGTGATGGATGGGCTTTACAGCTCAAACAGCCTTTGGGATAGCTGGCTGACAAGAAGTGCCTAAAACCAGCAATTTATGCTTTCTCATGTTCCTAAACCACAGGATGTTTATGGAGACCTTTTTTCTTTAGTGGTGGCTTTGAAACAGGAGCAAAATAAAAATGGTGAGACTCTCAAGTAGCTGTGCTTCACCCATTGCTAGAGGAGAGTGAATTACATGACTGGGAAGCAGCAGCAGCTGCCCAAATTTTACATCATCCCAAATTCCTGATGACATTAGCTTATACACTGCTTCCTAAGTTCCCTCCTTTATCTGAATTATAACTCCAGTCTCCTGGGCCAGGTGTGACAGGAGTGAATGCTGTTGTCTGCAGGTAGAAAATGAAGGTAGGAGACAGGAGAAGACAAATAGCTTAGCTGCTACAAAAGACAGGGAGGCATTAGTGCAGTCTCTGTGCATCTTGGAAAGATGAACACGAGTAATTTTAGGCAGTTAGAGACATCACAGTTGTCAGGTCACAGTTTCAGATAAACTCATATTCTGTTCAATCTTTCCCAAGTTATCTCTGCCATCAGAGGATCTGTGATCACTTGGGTAATGCAACAATGGCTGAAACTTTAAATGCAGTCAGATTGATAGGCCCCATTAAGATGCTCATCACAAGCTACTAAAAACCCACTGATTTATGGCTAGCAGCAGGAAAGTTTCCTCACAGGCAGTTATATTTTTCTTCTTCAGCTTTCAAAGCTGCTTTTGTAGAGGTTTCACTGTTTAAGCACTTAGAGCTTAATGAATACTCAGACAATTGTCTGATGTTCAGCTCCCTGGATGCCAGTGATGACTGAGGTTGAAGATAACTTAGAAAAGAGCCCAATAGCAAATGGTGAGCACCAAGGCTCCTACTGATAAACACAATTGCTTGGTGCCCTTCAGAGCTTAAATTCATGACCAAGTTACCACAAAATGAATGCAAATGCACTTCAGATGACCTCAGCAACTTGTTGTATACTATCTTAACCCTTAACAAAGAGAGAGGGATCCAAGTGACACAGACATACATGGACATAGCAGCAAATGAAGGGCAAAGCCAAGATGAACACAGCACTAAACACCCTTCAAAGCCAGAAATAGGAAAAAAAATTGTTCATTTGCTTCTTCCATACTGACAGAGTGTCCAGGGCAGGAACTGAGAAGGTAGTCCAAGATGTTTCTGTCTGACATAAACGTAATATTTAACATCTTGGAGGTGTAAACCTGTGTTGGCTCTCCTGGAGGTTTACTACCAGAAGATTCTGGGCACAAACAGACAGCAAAACTGAACTGTCTCAACACCTGAGAAATGTTGGTACTGATACACAGCTGTGTTTCATCAAGGAATGTGACATCCAACCTACTTTTTCATTATAAAAGCGGCAAGACTACATTTTTAGGAAGATGACAGTTTCAACGTTCTTTGTACTTGAGGACCTTCCCAGCTATCACACAACCATACAGTAAACAGATGTACCAAGGTGAATTCAGGTAAAGAGTGACTCAGGATTTCTGAGGCATCATCAAGTGCAAACAAGACCTTTGAGATCAATTACTGGCTGCTTAAAGTAAAACAGAACTGACAGATGCTCTTGGTGTCACAGGGCAGTCACTCTTCTTTTTAGAGGTGATCTTTCCTGGAGTTCAGACCTATAAAAGTGGCATCTATACAGAAGTGATCTGCAGCCATTTCCTCACAATACATAAGGAAGGCAACTGCTCTACGTGGTCACTCCATGTGCCCCATTACCTCTGGGAATTGTCCTATTTCCACCAGGGGAAAGCCAGCATACTGAGTTTCTATGAATTTTGAGAAAACTGGGAGGCAAACAGAGCAAGAAGTCTTTGCTGGTGCCCTGCTGAGGGAAGAACTAATAAACTGAACTTTCCTTTGACACCAAAGAACACCCAGAAGGATGTGTTAGAAAGCAGATCTGATGCTGCTTGTGACACTGCTGGCTTCTCCTTCCACTACTCTGTGATGCTCCCTGATGTTCTTCAAGTAGCTGAGATCCTGTCTTGTGGGACACCTCCTACTCCTGGCCACTTGTGCCACCCTTTCTGGGCTTGGCCTTTAAAGACCCTCTGCCTTTACCCAGAGCTGGGGGCAGCTCTGGATTCATAGCTCAGTGTCTGTGGTTTTCTTCTCAGAAGAAGCAGCAGTTCCTGAAAGCATTCACTAGCTTTCAAAAGGGACTTTTCCTCCTCATTGCTTGCAGTGCCTGAAACCCTCTCAAGTCACTAAGTTCCTGTAAATGTTTAGGGACTCCTCCAGCTTCCTAGAGTGCTCTGGGCTCTCATCTTCAGGATCTGTTTGGAGCAGGCCTGGAGGATACCCAGCTAACCAGCTACTTCCCTGCCACACTGGGGAGTTTGAGTCAAAGCCTGACTGGGCATGAAGCTGAGTCCTGAATTCGGCAGGCCTGCAGAAC